CCTCGGCCAAAGCTGCAGGGACAGACAGCCCTTGGGGGCAGAGAATGGAGCTCCTTCTCCCAGAGGACGGGAGCTTGATGTGGAGGCAACGGCGTGGAGTCCAGCGCGCTGGGCTATGTTCTGTGAGCCACACTCAGACGGAACACGGCGGAAGCGAAGCGTGCTCAGCTCTCCAAACTGCCCAGGGTCCTCAGCCTGCTCCTCAGCTGCCTGGCGCCCCTCCGAGCTGCCGACACCCCACCTGCCTCCTGGCATCTGGACAGCACCTTTGCTTTCGACTCCGAGCCCTGCGTCAGACTCAGCAGCCCTGTTTCCTTCCAGAATGTTACCTTGGGCAGGACGCATTTGCCCCGGCTCCTGGCTCCCGGCTCCCGACAACTTCCAGCGCCGGCCGCCGCGCAGACCCGGGGCAGGTCACTCCGCTTCTCCGAGACTTTCCTTTCCCACAGCGTCGGAAGGCGATAGGACCCGTGCCACGGGCCCACAGCAGCTCATGCCCGCGGGAGAGCACCAAAGGCAGTTGAGGGTGATCTCGATGATTCTCTTATCCTTCAGTTACTTAGAGTGTGTCACCCTGCACTGAAAGCGCATTTCAGAAGTGACTCTCCGTGGGGACACCCTGCTGTGGCGGGGCGGCCGCTCAGCCGCCCTTAAATCGCAGCCAGTGCTGGGCCACTGTTTGGAGCCATGCTTTGAAGTTGGCCTTGATGGTTGGACGGGAAGTGCTGCGTTTCTCCCCTTTTCGTTGTAGGCGTGCACGTCTTACCGAGACATTCACTCGGTGTTGCTGTCACACCAGTTGTTTATTCAGTCCGGTTTTTGCTTTTTTGTTGTGCATTTCCCTGGAAGAAAGGAAGTGACTAAAAACACGACTGACGATAGCTTTCCAGACTGACAAGGTGTCACCTGACGTTTCAATGAGGGCCCATGTGGCCTGCGACCTTGGGACTCTGCTTCTCAGACGCGTTTGTTGATCTGATCCCAGACACTTGAAATTGGACAGTCCAGCCCAGAGGTCCTGTCGGCAGCTTTCGACAGAGAACTAAATGTTCTGGAACTGAGCCGCATGGCCTTGAAGTCACGGGTGAACCAAGACTCACCTCTTCTCTGCAGGTGCCCACGGGCCCATGGGGTGAGTGCCACAGCGTTTGGGGGAAGGGACAATGTTTACCGTGAAGAGTCTCCTACCCAAGGATGGGCTCCTTGCCGGGGACCCATCTGCCAGCCGAGACCTTGGGTGTCCGCGTATCTGCCTACGTAGAACACAGACCCACAGGACGCACCAGTCTCCCCTCACAGCGGAGGGTGAAGTTTCACAGGTCATTTAATGCCCTTACTGACTGTGAATGGTCACAGACTGCAGCCCTAGATGACTGTGTCTCAGCAAAGCAGAGTTCAAAATACAGCTGCTAGTCAAACTGCTTTGAATTGGATTTGGCTTTCCTTTGATTCCGTGGGCTTGCCAGCTCCCAGGGGGCCCCGGCATCTTGGTGAGTCTCAGTGGCCCAAGACCAGCCGCAGTGGTACCGAGTGCCTTCCTCCCTGACTGGAGATTCTGTTTTCTTTATATTAAATCTCTGATACCGATGTGCACATTCTTTGGTTGCTTCTCACACAGCAGGAGGCAGACTGTGAAACAATTACGTCTTTGGTGTCGTCTGGTGGTTACAATTTTGCACAAAGCGGAGCTCAGAGCCCATGTGGGCACTCCAGGCAGGTGCTTGCTTCTCAGTGGTTCTGGAGCCGCCCTACCACATGGCCAATTTGTTCAGTGTATCAGGTGTTCTTCAAAGAAAATTTTGAGAGGTGTTAACGGACTTCACACTGGAGAGGCTGCTCGGCGATTTCAGCTGCAGCTGCAGGAACAATTCTGGCTCCAGATGGGAAGGAAATTAAGCCCCTAGGACTGGAGGGACATTAAAACCGTTATTGCAGCTGCATTTCTTATGTTCAGAAAGTTTGGTAGAGACGTACGTGGAAGTTAAACATTCCTGGAGAGGACAACGGCACCGATGTGATTACAGCAGATTAGACACTGAAGAAGAGGTTAGTGAACTTGAAGATACGGCAGCAGAACCCGTCAGAAGTGACGCAGAAAGACAGAGGGACAAGGAAGGGGCAGGAGCGCGAGCGAGCTGCGGGACAGCCGCCGGGGGCTGACGCGTGTCCCTGGAGTCCCCGCGGGAGGGAGGAGAGTCAGCAGAAACGTTTCGATAAGTGACGCCCGCGCGCTTTGCAGATCTGATGCAAACTCGAAACCCTCAGGTCCAGGAACCCGGCGAAGCCTGAGCGCAGAAGCATGGAGAAGACTAAACCCACGCACCTCGTCCTCCGAACGGCTCACTGCCGGTGGCGAAAGAAAGTCTTAAAAGCAGCCAGGAACGCCAGCGCCTTGCAGGCAAACGAGGGCAAGCTCACCGTCAGAAGCCACGCGGGTGAGAGCGCCGTGGGGCGGGCGTTTTGAGTGGGGCCGGGGGCGGCAGAGGAAGCCGGCTGCCCGCCCCGAATCCCGTACTTGGCGAACATACTGCTCAGCAAGGAAGGCCACGTACAGCCTGTTTCAGACGGACGGTGACAGAAAGAGGTCGTGCTCGGCAGAACTGCACCGAGAGAGGCGTCCCGGGAATCCCTTCGGGGAGAAGCCAGCGCAGAGGAGGGAGAGCTCTGGGAGTCGGGGCTGTGCTGCATGCAGACTGCAGGGGTACGAGCTCCCCTTCTTATGTAAGTGGCGTCCATGGATAACTGACTATCTCATCAGAAGTAACAACCACGTGGGCTGGGATTTGTAGCCTGTGTAACAGGGAAGTGTACATGATAAGAGAGCAGAGACTGGGGAGAGGGACGGAAGTGATGCGGCTATAAAGGTGTTGTGCTGCATGTGAAGTGATTTCACGCCGTCCGAAGGAGACCGTGTTGAGTGGCACCGTCAGAACGGCCACCGGCAGGCCTGAGACTTCGGCGAGCGAGAGGACGAGCGGACGGCGGGTCGGTAGGGGCCGAGACCCCTTGGAACTACGCAGTCACGCGTTGTCAGTGAGATGCATCTGTTTAGCTGCGTCTTACAAACGCGATGCGCCGTTGTGTTTCTTGGCGTTCTCCCTGATGGAGTCGAAAACTGTGTTCGCACAAAGGCCTGCGCGTGGATGTTTGTGGCCGTTTTACTCACGTTTGCCCCAACTCGGACGCAGTGCAGATGCCTTTGAGTAGACTGATGGGGAAGTGGGTTATTACTTAGCAACAAAAGGAAATGAGCCGTTAGGCCACCGAAGGCCACGGAGGGACCCACATCGACGCGGCTCAGTGCAGAGAAGCCAGTCTGCAAAGGGTCCCTGCTGCGCGGCTGCAGCTCTGTGACACTCTGGAAGGGGCCGAACTGCGAGATGGTGGAAAAGCGCATGGCCGCCAGGGGTTCGGGAGGAGGGGGCGTTTCTGGGACAGCAGACTTACCGTGTCCAACACAGGAACGGTGGATATTTGATTGACATCATCAGAACATCTGTCAAAACTCACAGACCTGCGCAACGTAAAGAGCGAACCTAGATGTAAATTATGGACTTGAATTGATAAAAAACAACAACAACAACAACAATAATATTGAAACATTGAAGAGAATGTGTAGTTTGTTACATGCCAATCTTACCTCTATAAAGCTGTTAAATCGTATCAGAATCTCCGGCGAGCTGCACCTTCTGTGACCTAGAGGTAATCTCAGATCTCGCAGGCAGGCAGCCCCACATTTCTGGCTCCGGGGCAATAAAGGTGGTTTCTCCTCCCTCCGGACAGTTCAGCGCCCCCTGCAGCTTTCCACAGACCAAAGGGACTCGCTGTTGAAGAGCAACTTGGATGAGGCCATGGTCAGAGTGACGCACAGGGGCCTTTGGGCCACCTGTGTTCTGGTGTGTTGAGAGTGTCTGACCCCCTCTCTGGGGCGGCGTCCGCTCTGAAAGTCAGCGGCAGCCTTGATGGGCATTGCTGGGGAGGCCAAAGGCGCGGCTTCTGTTTCCCGTGGCGCCAGGAGCTGACCTGCAAGTTTCGGCCTGGTCACGTGGTTTATTCACCACGGCAGACCTCGGCTTCTGCATCGGCAGGACTCTGTGCGGTGCCTTCCCACTGCGGACCCCGCTACCGTCGGCAGGGACCCTCCTCACACTGCCACAGGGAGTGGGGTGTGCGCGACCTGTGTGTGTGTGTGTGTGTGTGTGTGTGTGTGTGAGAGTCCGAGGGCACCCGGCGCAGCAGCAGCCCTGTTGGGCATCGAGCCCCCGGAGGCCTCCCCGCACGGAGTTCCCGCTGCCTCCGGGTGTGGGTAGAGCCCGGGTGCCCCTTGCTTGGGGCTGGACGCCCAGGGCAGGGGCGTAGGCGGCGTTGGGTCCCCGCTGCAGCCGCTCCCCGCAGCTCTGTGAGTTTTCCAGCCTTTCCTGCATCCCAGCCCTCACGCCTCCCTTGGCTAAGGGTGCCTCCTCCATCTGCAAAGAGATGCCCACAGAGCGAAGTTCTGGGGCTTTTCTCCGCCCAGCACGGAGAGGTTGCTGTCCTGCCACACTCGAAGGCTGAGGGTTGGAAGGTTTTCTAGTAACCGAGCCTCCTGAGAGCACCTGATTTTTTTTTTTTAATTTACACTTGGAGATAGAAAATGTTCCTTAGCTAGTATTGTTCTGGGAGCCTAACTTTATTTACCTTAAAAATCCCGTAAGGACCTTGGGACATAATCGGTGGAGAAGCTCGGTCAGGTCTGAGTGGGTCACAGCAACCAGGCTCTCAGCCCGGGTATCAGGAGCCGGACGGCGCTCGGTGCCTCTTTGGTCCGGAGCTGCGGATGCTCTTTGCGGCGCTCCTCCGCTTTGCTGGTCTCTCTGGACGCGAAGAGGGAGGGGGCAGGGGGTGCGCTCCCCTGGCCGTGCATGGTCTCCCGGGACCACGTTCTGGCCCTCTAGAGCAACATTGTAAAAGCTCAGCCCGTGCAAAGCAACCCGCCCAGTTTCTGTGTTTCATTTTTCCAGGACTTTGTTTGGAGAAGCTGCCCATTTCCTCGTCCGCCAGCAACCTCCACGTGGACCGGGAGCAGGACGTGGTCACCTGCTACGAGAAGGCCGGGGACATCGCGCTGCTGTACCTCCAAGAGATAGAGAGGGTGAGTGTGGACTGTGTGTGTGTTCCCGCGGATGATTTTTTAAAAATCTCACAGCCAGTTATAGAGACCCGCGGTCAGCCTCTGGAAAACCTTCCGCCTGCCGGCCTGCGGGGGCACAGCGTCCCACGCTCTCTGCAATGCCGAGGGGAGCAGGGCGGCGATGGGGGGGGGGGCGGGGGTGGGGGCGGGGGCTTGGGAAATGGCCTGCCCGAGTCGGGGAGCGTTTCAGCGTCCTCGGAGCAGAACGACAGTGTGCGCCTGCGTATTATCCCCTTAGCACCCCGAAGCTGGCTAATTATGCCTGCTCTGTTTTGCAAGTTGGGTCGATCTTCGTTTGTACTTGTGTGGACCATCTGTGCAGCTGGGTTCGGGGGGCTTGACCTCAGTGGTGACTCCAGAGGTCTGCTGGGGACCCTCGACTGCCCTGCTGGAAGCAGGCGGTGGATCCCCTGAGGCCATCGGGGCGGTTCCTTCCAGGTGGCAGTCACCCTTGTGCCTCTGGTGCGGGAGTTGGAACCCAGCGGCCGATGGGTGCCCCGCCCCCTCCCAGGGAGAGTGAGACGAGCTCACACCCTCAGGTAGGGGAAGCGGGAGGCTGGGCGGGGCTGTGTCACTCGACCGTTTAGATGGATCTCTGTCTTGGCTCAGCCCTTGAAAGCTCCTGCACTGCTCAGCCCCAGTTCCCCCACCTGCAAAAGGAGATTAGTTGTGGTTCCTACCTCGCGGGTTCTTGTGGGGATTATAAAAGGCCAGGTAAACAAGGCACACAGCCCGGGATTCTGGACAAATGTCACTTGTTTTTACTCAGTAGCTCCCAGCCATCTCTGCCCCCAGCAGAGTTCTCTGGAGTCCTGACCAAGGCCTGGCAGCGACGCTCCCCCTTCAGACCCAGAGACGTATCCTGGGAGGTATTTTGAAATGACGGGAAATCCTGGGAGGCTGAAAATGACCGCGGTCTCGTCCCCACCGGGGGCGTAGGCTCTCTGTCTCCGCGAGGGTTAGGGTAGACGGGGGCTGCCAGGGCCTTGTCGGTTTTTGTTGTTTAGTAACATACAGACCGGAAACGGTTTTTAAAAATAAGTCTTTGCATGTTAACGTAAGTGATGAGGGTCAGAGCTGCCTTGTGAGAAGCAGGAAGATGGTACGTGTCCCGGCCTGCACCAGAGCGGGTTGTAAATCAGGGCCTGTCGCGCCTGGGGGCACTCGGGGTCTGTCCAGAGGGTGCCCAGCCACACAACATGAAAAATGGAGACATTTACTGAAGAAGACACAAGAAACGTTGTACACAGGACGGTGATGCCTCAGTGTCCTTCCAAGTAGGCCCCTCGGGACCTCACCCAGTTCTCCCAGTCGCCATCAGCTGCCCCATCGTAGTTTCCTGAGTCTCATCCACAGTCTGAAATCTTTTTCCTTTCAAAGGTGATTTCAGTTTTGGGGAAAGGCCAGAAGTCGCAGGGCGCCAAAGCTGGGCTGTAAGGGGACTGAGTCCCCTGGGTGATTTGACGTTTTGCCAAAAAACTCTGCATGAAATATGATACATGAGTAGGCACGTTGTCGGGATAAAACTGCCAATCACCAGCTGCCCATAGCTGCAGCCTTCTAAATCATCCAAATAGTTTCCACGGAGGAATGTTCAAGCTTAATGAAAACTTGAGGCAGATTTGCGGCTCTACTTGCTCAGTCATTGTGAATGTGACGGCCACACACTACACGGGGCTCACTCCACGGCGTCTGCCACCCGCACTGACCAGTACAGTGACGTCGTCATTGTTCTCGCATGTGCATTCCAGTCCTCTCTCCTTGGTGGCCAGGTCACATCCGTTCTCGTTCTATTGACAGTGGCTGGGCCCTTTCCGGACAGGCCTTGCCAGAATGCCCTGTCTGCAGGCTGCCACGAGAAAGGAGTTTCCTGTTATTCGGAATTTAGGGCAGGGTCTCCAGAGAAGTGACCCTGCTTTCAAAACCCCCATTACCTCCGCCACCGGCCTCCGCCACTGCCAGTGCTCGGCAGTGGGGGAACCCCGCGCACCCCAGCTAAGCTGCTCTCATCCCCTCAACAGCCCCCGCCACTCAAGGGCCCTTGTTTTGCACCCCACTCCCCAATGGTTGTCCGGCCCTGTCATGTTGAGGCTGCCTTTTCGGGCTGGGAGAAAGGAGGTTCCTCTGTCACTGGTGCCGTTCGTGACATGAATATTGGCAGGTCTGGGTTCCTTCCTGTCATGTGCCTTCTGTAACCGCCTGTTCCCCAGTGGGCGCTTTAGCCAGATTTCCAAAGATACAGTCATAGGATAGGAAACAAATATTTGTTGTGGGTTTGGGGAAATAGCGATTGTAGGGTTTTAGGTTCTGAGAAGAAAGCGGAGGCCCAGGACGGGGGAGCCCAGGGCGCAGAGGAGTTTAGGGCCGGTGCTAGAGTCAGAGCTCTGCCCTTTCTTTCCCGAGCCCAGTACGCGCTCCTGTCCCCTGTCCCCGGCCACTGCGGTCCCCACACCCTTCCTTATGTGTGCAAAGTGCTGCTCCGTGGTGTCTCCCCAGGCGGACCGTGGCTCCGAGCGGCACAGGGACGCAGCCTCGGCCCCGGTCCATCTCCGGGAGCTCTCACGTCTCTGGCTCAGACTGTCCTGCCTGTGCCGTCCTTCGTGGGGGACCACTGTGCGCCTCCCCAGACCCAGCAAGTGGAGACCTTAGCGATGAGAGAGACCGAGTGAACCCAACGTCGGTTCTGACCGCAGTAGGTATTTAAGAAATAGGTGTTGACTCAGGAGGAGTTGAGGGGGAAAAGGACCTTCCTTAAGTGGCCGCTGGGCCAGGTGAAAGTTCAGGGGTTTTGAGGCGAGATAAGGGATGCTATGCCGAGGAAACCTCTTAAACAAAATTTTTTTTAGAACTTAAATGACTTTTTAGAAGTATGCTAAATTAAAAACTGAAATTTTGCTCAGGCTTCAGTTCCCTGGGTCGGCAGCCCTCTTTGGTGGAGGCCCCCACAAGCTCTGCCCCTGTATCTGCCCCACTGGGCAGACGCGGTCCGTCACTCGGTGGTCTGCCCCTCCTTTCCCAGCCGTTCTCTCGAGAAGAAGCTCCCAGTTGCCAGGACCTTTGGGTGCTTTGTTTATTAGTGTTGGCTCTAAACTTCGTGTACGAGCAAGGGTAAAATCTGGGGAGAACTCTGGAGGACCGTGTGGAGCATGGCGGCCAGCGCCTTTCGCCCTCGGGGACCACCAAATCCCACTTCCGAGGCGGCCCCACTCTCTGAGTTTCCCGAAGAGCGGGTCTGTTCAGTGACATTCGAATAGTTTGCTCCCAGCGGAGCAGCGACACTCAGAGAGGGAGATGACCTTGGCCTCCCCTGGGGCTGACTTACTGACCTGTGGGAGGCAGCAGAGCACAGCGGTCAGGCGACTGCGGTGTTGGGATGCTCACCCTGCCACCTGCTAGCAGTGTGACTTTGGGCGGTGCTGCCAGCCTCTCTGTGCTGCCTCTGGATCCTCATTAGTACAAGAGCAACACCAGTGGCTCGGCCGTGGTAGTCAGGATGGCGTGGTTTGACCATGCCCTTCCCCGCACGTCCGTGGTTGGCACACAGTGTTAGTTCTGTTGTCACTCTGTCCCTGTGTCACCTGGCAGTGGACTCTTTCCTCACCTTAGGAGATTTCAGATATGTAGGTAAAAAATATGGAATATTGAAAACACAGTTTTATATAAAATGTTAAGGAATTTTCGGGAGAATGTTAATGGAGTGATTTTTTTTCAGGAAAGTGTTGCTTTTTTTTCTTGGGCGGAGGATAATGGGACAACGTTTTGCCCGCAGTCCCAATGTGATGTCTGGGCTCTGCACCTCTGTTCACCTCTGACCATGTGACCTTGGCCTAGTCCTTTGTTTCAGCTTTTGTTTTCTGGGCGGGCCTCACACTGCCCGGCCTGTCAGGGGCTGGAGAACCGGCGAGTCTGCAGTGTCTTCTGGCCAGCCCGCCAGGAGCTCCCGCTGTGCCGTGCGCCGCTGGTTGCAAACGGAGGCAGGGCGGAGGGAGACGCGAGTACACGGAGGCCGTGCGCGTTAACTCTTTGTTCGGCGTGTCCTCGTCCCAGAGGCACCTACTGACAATTCTCCCTGACAATTTGTCCTATGAAGGGGAATAAAAGATCCCTCTAACACCGCGCCCATAAAATAATTTAATCAAACAAATCAAATTAGAGCAGATAGAATTAGAATGGGCGTGGGACGGCCTTGATTAGTTTATCTTTAGGTGGTGGCGTGCTGCCAGCGCTAAATAACGTTATCTCCCCGCAAGGAGCTGCTAGGGGTGCAGCGACCGGAATAACGATGACTTCATCCTTGAATATTATAATGCGAGCTCTGCTTTTGGCAAATGAAATCACGCTGCCCCTGTCCTTGGCGCGCATCCGCCAGCCAGCCGGTGATGGCTTTCCTGAGCCGAAGCGGTGCCAGGGTGGAACTTTACCTTCTGCTGACAGTTCATTCCTTGACACCCTCTTTTGGAAAGGGAGGCAGTGCCGAATTATGGGCCATCCACAGACTCCTTATGGGCTGTGCAGCGCTGGAGTTTGGAAGGAAAGACCCGGCCCCGCCCAGACTTCCTCTGCGCAGCCATCGGCGTGGTCACGCCCCAGTTCGAGGTGTCCGCCCTGCAGGGAGGATCCTGGCGCCGGACTCAGAACTGCAGGAGGTGAAGGTTACCGTGTGCGCGCACGGGATTCAGACCAGAGGCCCTGCCGCGGAAAAGCACCCGGCGCTGCGACCAACCGGAGAGGCAGGGCAGACTCTGGAGGTCCGCGTGGCTGCGCCCAGGCTTTAAGTGTGCAAGACAATAAGAAAAGGACAGATTCTCCCTTCCCTTTCCTTCCCGTCCCCTCCCGGCTCGAGCCACAGCCTGATGCGGCGTACCTGGAGGAGCCCCTCCTTAGAGAATCTTCCAGAGACCGGCTGGCTGGGCGTGCGCTCGGACGCAGGGCCTGTCCGCCGAGGAGCCGGAATGGGAGAC